CTCTCTTCGCCCCCCCCCCCCGCCCACCCGCTGGCTGGGGAAGGGGAGACTTTTGAAGATGCCTCCCCCCCCTTTTTTGCTTCCCCTTCTGACATCACTTCCAGTGATGTTAGGGGCGTGGCATATGCTAATGAGCTATTATGCTAATAGCTTATTAGGTGTGCTAATGAGCTCCTGCAGCTCTTTTTCTACGAGATGACCCCTGGGCACATCTACAACCTGTGCTGCGCCTGCTACACTGGCTTCCAGTGGAGTACCAAGTCAGATTCAAGGTGCTGATATTGACCTTTAAGGCCTTGAGCGGTCTGGAACCTGCGTATCTTAAGGACCATCTCCTCTGGCATGTCCCTGGGAGAGCGTCACACTCTGCTGAGAGCAATCTGCTGGTGGTCCCTGGCCCCAAGGATATCCGGCTGCCCTCAACCAGAGCCAGGGCACCCCAGACACACCAACCTGGTGGAACTCTCTGTCAAATACCATCAGGGCCCTGTTAATGCAATTCCGCAGGGCCTGTAAGGCAGAGATGTTCCGCCAGGCTTTTGGCTGAGGGCAGCAATGGTTTTCCATCATGGCTGGCACCCTCTTTTCTTCCATTCTGCCTCCTTCAGCCTCCGCCTTAACCAGCCCACGAGATAGAAGAACAGTCCAGAGAAGCTTTTAGATTAAATTATGGACACCATCTGGAGACTATTAAATTAAGAATAACTGATTTGTCGATTTTAATCTGTATTTTTGTATGTTTTTAACCTGTTGTCAATTGCCCAGAGCCTTGTGTACTCAGGGATTGGGAGATCCAGAGATAACAGCAACAACAACAACCTTTTAAAAGGAGAGCCCATCTGAAAACGGAGATCAAACCTGTGCCAAGTTGGTGTTGATAAATGCTGATAGGCATTTGCTCAATGTCAAATCAGACCGGAATATTGTCATAACAAACGTCTGAGCTACTCAGAGTACATAAAACTTTATCCTTTCCCCTTTATCCTTTGCATTTAATGCAGCTGCACTGCAGTGCAGAAGAAACTGAGTGTTAGGTGGAGGTGGGTGGGAGCCCAACTTTGTCAAGAACATTCTACCAAGATCCGCATAGGTAAATACCACCACTTTCCCTTACAATGGCAAGCCATCCCTACCACTGTGACACCAGGAGTCATTGCACCAATGCCCATCCTCTCCTCACACCTATTTGCATATTTAGCAACCAACAAACAGGCTTGGAACCAAAGGTGAGCAGACAGAAGGTGAATTCCCAGCACTGCAGCCAATCCACAGACTTCCTCCCCATCTGGGGGCCACGTTTCATATTCTTTTATTTCCACTCAGCCATGCACCTGCATTCCATGATAGCCTTTCCCCGAATACGCCATCAGCAGCACGATCTTCCTCTTCTGGTATTTTTTATTCCCATCTTCTCTCTCTTCTTGGCTAGCCTTGAGCCGTTTTGCTTCGTGCCCATTCTCCTCTTGCTTTGCATCCTCTTCCTCCTCTCTGCTGTTGCCGCTCTTCAGCCTCCTGGCCTGGCAGTTCGTCACGATTCTCAGCTCCTCGGCCATCACAAGACACTGGACGGGGTGAGGCAGAACAGCAAGATTCAGCTCAAGCAGCAAAAGAAACCATTTCTACCAACGTGAAGGCAAGGAGAAACCAGCAGCACAGAGACATTCCTTCCAAAAATGGCATGAGTCCCTTAAGTTCAAGCTCTGGCACCTCCAGCCAAAAGGTTCCTAGATTCCCGGGCTAGCCGAAGTCCCAGAGAGCCAGTGCTACACCCAGAGTTCCATACTGGGCTAGAGGGTTAAATGGTCCATCTCAGGATAAGGCAATTTAATACAGCATTAAAGAGAACCAGACTCAAATCCCCAATCGGCCATAGTCATTGGTTGACCCTGGACCGGTCAGTCACTCCGAGTCCCACCCACCTCAATGGGTTGCTGTTTTTGGTACAAGCTCCCAATAGAGATTAGGGCCCTGTGGGATCTATTATGGTTCCACAGGGCCTGTAAAACGGAGCTGTTTCGCCAGGCCTTTGGTTGAGGAGGTGGACGTCCAAACAATTTGTCCCCTCCTCCTCAAGCTGCCCTTGATCTTGATGGCAGGGAATTTACCACTCTGAGAACCCGTACCAATCAGCAGTGTTCCCTCGAAGCTGAGTTAGCGTGAGCTCGCTCGCAGTTTTTTAGCCGCCGGCTCACACATTTTTGTCTTTGCTCAGGAAGGATGGCCCCAGAGCAAACTAATGTATGCCGTAGCCAAATTGCTGTCTCACCACTTTAATGTCAGTAGCTCACAAGGTAGCCTTTTTGCTCACAAGACTCCACAGCTTAGAGGCAGCACTGCCAATCAGGTCCCATATCCACTCTGATGGAAAGAGGCCCAGGAGACCGTAAGTTTTTTGATTGCCATCTTGTTTCTTTAACAGGAATCTGGAATGGCTGGTTTTAGAGTTTTTAAAGCTGGTTTATCTTTGTTAGTCATTTGTAAGTTGTGACCCGCCCTGAGCCCGCTTGCACGGACGGTGGGATAGAAATTAAATAAACCAATAAAATCAAGCAGGCAGCACATCCCAAAGATCAATACTAGAAGATAAAAATGTTGGTGTTCCGCATTAATTCTTGCTTTCCTTTCATCGTAATAGTTATATAATAAAATTATACATTAGAAGTGTAAAGAAATAAATTGACAAATAATATAAAGTAAAAAAAATAATTTGGGGTCAAGGGGGGGTAAGAAAAACAAAAGATGTATGAATTGTATAATGCTATATTTTCCAAACGTAGAATTAAATTTGTGGGAATGTTCCCAAGTGGATTATAAAGACAGGACAAAAGATATATCATAAATCAATCCAATTTGGGCATATTGTAGGTTATTTATCTTTGATAAATTACTTTAAATGTTATTCCTTCCTTTCTTATGATGTTTTGTATAAACTTGTATTACGTGAATTAAAAGCAAAATAAAATATTTTTTTAAAAAAACCAACAGCCCGTTAAGGTTGTAAAGAATCAGTTGAAAGGTACAAAAACGATGAGCCCCTGGGCGAAAGGGCAGGAAAAAAAAAACATGCCAGCCAGATAGGTAGGCAGGAACCACTGCAGCCCCGTGCACTTATCACACAAGGGCACAGCCCCATCTTGAAGACACCCCACACGCTGAGAACGTAAAAGCCCCGCAGGATCACCCCCAAAAGGTCCATTTTGACCCAGCACCCCGTTTCCCACCGAGGCCAACCAGGCGCGCCCAGCAGAGCTCCGGCAGCCAAACCCAAATCGGCTTTTCCCAAAGGTACGCTGCTCCCGGACGTGGAGGCTCTCCTCCGCCCCTAGACAGTTCAGGATACCTACGCTACTGATCCTACTCCGCCGCCAGCTTCTCTCCGCTCTCACCCACGCATCAGCAAGCAGCCTCAGCCCCGGCCGGGATCCAAACATCGCCGATCTCCGAACAATGCATCAGCTGGACGCCGCCGAGGAGGAGCCTCCCCCCTCCTTCCCTCCCAAAGCAAACCGCCGGGGAGGGGGTGGCAGAAGCCCCCCGCCGCCGCCCCCCTCCTCCTCTGCACAGAGGGCAGAAGGGAGATTCTCTTGCGCAGCTCCAGCCACTTACTCAGACGCCGCATTGGCAGCAGCCAGGGAGGCAACGGCTCAGACAGAGCCGCAGGACCACGTGGGGCCCCGGAGAAAGGAGGAAGGGAGAGCTACGGTAGCCGGCAAAGGGCAAACTTGTGGGAAATTCGTTGCCGGGGGAGGGGTCGGGGGAAGTCTATAGGTGTGTCTTTGGCCGTGTTGCGCACGTGGAAAGCGACGCAGGTTGGTCCGTGGGAACAGAAGGGTGCAGGCTTTGGGGTGGGGTAGAGCTTTTCATTAGGACTCAAAAAAGGCACGGGAAGCTGTTGCAGGGCTTGATGCGGCAGGAAAGAGCAAGAGTTCAGTAAAAAGGTAAAGGTTCCCTTGCTCGAAAGCCAGTCGAGTCCGACTCTAGGGTTGCGGTGCTCATCTCCGTTTCAAAGCCGAAGAGCCAGCGCTGTCCAAAGACGTTTCCGTGGCCATGTGGCCGGCATGACTAAACACCAAGGCGCACGGAACGCTGTTACCTTCCCACCAAAGTGGTACCTATTTATCTACTTGCAATTTCTTGCTTTCGAACTGCTGGGTTGGCAGGAGCTGGAACTAGAGACGGGAGCTCACTCCGTCATGCGGCACACCCGGGTCTCGAACTACTGAACTACCGACCTTCCACAGCCTGCAGTTCAGCGTCTTAACCACTTGAGCCACCGCAGCTCCTACGAGTTCAGTAGCACCTGTCAAACACGAACAAAGTTTGTGGCAGCCGAGCAGAGTTTTGAGTCCAGCGGCGCCTTTGCAGGCCGACGAAGTTTTATTCGAAGTGTAAGATCTGGTGTGCAAAGCACCCTTCTTCAGACAAATTGGAATAAAATCTCCTCAAGGGTTACTTACGGAAAAAAGAAGATGTGTGTGTGCAGCAATGCTCCCGCTAAGCTATGGAGTCCTGTGAGCAAAAAATTTACTTTGTGACCTACTGGCATTAAAGCTGTGAGCGAGCGATTTGACTACTGCATACATTAGTTTGCTCTGGAGCCATCCTTCCTGAGCTAAGGCAAAATTGTGCGAGCCGGAGGCTAAAAAACTGTGAGCCCAGCTCACACTGACTCAGCTTAGAAGGAACACTGGGGTGCAGCCCCCACCTGTAAGTAGCCCTTGAGGAGCTTTCATTCCAATTAGTCTGAAGAAGGGTGCTTTGCACACAAAAGCTTACACTTTGAATTAAACTTTGTTGGTTTTAAAGGTGTCACTGGACTCGAACTTTGACTGGTTCTGCATCTCGCATTCATTCCACATTTTCTCAATACTGTGCGATTCTGCATTGGCTTTTCCATCGGTTGTTTTAGGCAACCCACACTGGAACAGAAATTCCCCTCTGCATTGCATGCTACATTTGACTTTCTTTGATCATTGGATTTTATGGTACCCTCCACACTGCATGCTGCTTTCACTTTCTTTGATCATTAGGTTTTATGGTACCTTCCAATGGCCCATGCAGTCCAACACTCTGTCACACAGTGGCCATAAATACCAGGTGCCATCAGGAGGTCCATCTGTGGGGCCAGGACACTAAAAGCCCTCCCACTGTGGCCCGCGCCCCC